AAGGGTCATATGATGGGTAAATTAGAGGAACATGGAAAATTTTCTGTGTTAGATCTCTGAATGAGGGAAGAATTTGTGCCCAAATAAGAGATACAGAGCGTCATAGAATATAAAATGGATCCTTTTGATTACATTAAAGTTTTTGCACAAACAAAACTAATGTAGCCAAGATTAGAAGAAAAGCAGGAAACTCAGAAAACTATTTTATAGCAAGTTTCTGTGATAAAGACCTCACTTCTGAAATATGTAGAGAACAAAATTCATAACAAGTCATTCCCCAACTGATAAATTGTGAAAGTATATATGAACAGGCAGTTTCCAAAAGAAGAAATCATAGTTATCTTTGGTCGTATAAAAACATGCTCTAAATCACTAATGATTAGAGAAATGCAAATTAAAACAACTCAGGAGTTACTGCTTCATACCTATCAGATTGGCTACTATGACAGAAAAGGAAAACAAAGGCTGATGGAAGGGGAATGATGAAAAAGTGGGATACTAATTTGACTGTTGGTGGAATTATAAACTGCTGCAATCATTCTGGAGAATAATTGGGAATTATTCCCAAAGGGCTCTCAAACTTTACATACCTTTTGACAGAGCAATACTATTGCTGGGTCTCTGTCACAGAGATCAAGTAAAATGTAAAGAACTAATATGTACAAAAATACTGATAGCAGTTCTTTTTATTGAGGCAAAATTTGAAATCAAGGAGATGCCCAACCATTGGGAACTGGCTAAACACGTTGTGGTATATGATTGTGATGGAATACTGCTCTGTTAGAAGACATGATGAGCAGGATGGTTTCAGAACAAGCTGGGAATATTGATATGAACTGATGTAAAGTGAAGCGTGCAGAACCAGGAGAACATCATGCACAATAACAGCAATGATGTACAATGATCACTGTGAAGGACTTTGCTGTTCACAGCAATACATCTAAGACGGTTCTGAGGGATTTATGATGAAAAATGCTATTCACATCCTGAGAAAGAACTGACTCTGAATGCAGATTTAGGCATGTTTATTTTATTTTGATTGGGGGGGGGGAGGTTTGGTCTGTTTTCTTGTGATATTGGGCCTCAGAGCTGTGAGCTGAAGATTTTAAGTTCACTTGCCTAATCACAGGAAGCTAACTGGAGGACATCCACCCCATGGTGACCAAGCTCAGCATGGTGGAGGTAACTCAATTATATGGAAAGTTCCCCACCTACTTGTGTTGCCCCTTTGGCCCTTGTCACCCCTCTATTGCCCCATATGGAGGGATGACCATGAGCACTGGACCAACCAGTAGCCCTGGTTGCCAGCCTGTGGCTTGCCTTTCTACCAGTCTATGGGTGTGGTCATCAGAACCTCCTGAGAGGTCAAGCTAGGTCCATCAAGGTCTGCTCATTAGCCCATTTGTCAAGCAGTGGGATTCTGTGTTTTCTGTAGATCCTCCTGGAGGGTCAAGGGGAGGGTGTATCAACCAGTGAGGCTGTGTTTTAGTTTTCCCTCATCTGTATTGTCTGGGAATGAAGCACTATACAACTAAAGCCCTGCGGGAAGGGCCTGCTTCACATTGTGAGGAAGAGCTAAGGTCCATTTCCTGACAGGGCACCACAGACCCTTTAATAAAGTGCCATTGGCTCAGAGCTCTGCCTCAGTTTCTTTTATTCTAGGTTTGACAATTTTATTCCTCATAACATATGCTGGAAATAAAAAGCAAAGAAACACCAAATTCTCATACTAAGCAGAGTCAAGCAATACAAATTCCCACATTGACTACACCCCAAAATGCAAGTCTCACCCTTCTCCTTAGTCCATGACCTCTCTCACAAGGTAAGTAGTATTCCTACTTATTGATATGCTAAAATCATGGTTGATCACTGTGTTGAGTTTGAAGTTCTTCAGAATGCCTTGTTTATTACAACATCGATGGTATAGCATAAATTCTCCTCATTCATCTCTGCATCACCCACATACAAGTTTTCCCTGGATTTCTTTAGAACTGTCTCTTCATTTTGTAAAAACCAAAATAATATTCTTTTATATTAATATGTCTTAATTTTCCCGTCTTTCCCCAACTGAAATACACCTCCTTTGTTTTCCAGTTCTTTGTCACTACAAAAAGAAATTATATAAATATTGTTGATGTGTGTGTCTTTTCTCTCTTTGATCGGTCTGGGATACAGTCCTGCTGAAAGACCAAAGGTTATATACAGGTTAGTACTTTCTTGAGCATAGTTGCAAATTGCTTTCTATAGCAACTGGAGCAATTTACAATTCTCCCAATAGTGCGTCAATGTGTCTGCTTTCCCACTCCATTTTTGTCAACTTAAAAAATGGGATGGGTATTTCCTGTTCTGTTAATCTGAACATTTTACTTCTTATTTATCCATTAAAGTTGTTGGTTTTGTTGTCATAAATTGAACAAAATAGTTTCTAAAAATATTCTTTATTTCTTCATTGATTTTCATTTTTATTTTCTTTTACTTTGATACTGGCAATTTGGTTTACCATTTTCTTTTCAGTCAAATTAGCTAGTGATTCATGTATTATTTTGTTTTCTTTTCAAAAAGCCATAGCTCCAAGTTTTAACATATCAATGTGTTTTTACTTTCAGTTTTCTTGATCTGTTGTTTTATATTTAAATTTTTAATTGTGTTGATTTTATTTTAAGATAAAATTTTATCCCCCCCCTTCAATAACATGGAAAAGAATTTTAACTTTGTATTATTAAAATTGTAGGTTTCAAATTCTATCTCTCCCTCCCCTCACTTCTCCCTCAGATGGTCAATAATTTTATGTAGGTTATATACATGCAATCACATAAACATATTTCTATATTATTCATTTTGTGGAAGAAAGCAGAAGGAAGAAAGGAAGGAAAGGACCCTTCATCAGTTCTTTCTCTAGTAGTGGGTAGTACTTTTCATCATAAGTCCTTTGGAATTATCATGGATCAGTGTATTATGGAGAATAGCTGTCATTGATAGTTGTTCATTATAAAGTATTTGCTCTTACTATATACAATGTTCTGGTTCTGCTCACTTCACCTCTCATCAGTTCATATAAATCTTTCCAGGTTTTTCTGAAATCATCCGGCTTCTCATTTCTTATACCACACTAATAATCCATTGTGGTCATATACCAAAACTTGTCCAGCCATTCTCAAACTGAGATGCATTCCCTCATTTTCCAATTCCCTGCCATCACCAGAAGAGCTGCTATAAATATTTTTGGAAAATTAGATACCCCCCTTTTTTTTCTCTTTGGGCTACAGAACTAGTAGTGGTCGCTGAGTATGAACAGTTTTATCCCCTTTGGGCACAGCTCCAAATTGCTCTCCAGAAAAGCTGAAATGTATAATTTACATCCAATCACTTTTCTGGAGGGGAGAGAGGGAATTTGGGATTCAATTTTTTTTAAAAATGGAGGGGTAGAGCCAAGATGTCACAGTAAAGGCAGGGATTTGCCTGAGCTCTCCCCAAAGTGCATCCCTAAAATTAACAAAGAGGCTAAAAGATGTAAAAACCTCAGTGTTGAATGAGCTGTAGGAAGACAGGTACACTAATCCAGTGCTGCAAAAGCCTTGGATCAATCCAATATTTCAGGGAAATAATATAGGGAAGGGAGGAAGTAAGCATTTATACAGCTCCTATTACGTGCCAGGAACTGTGCTAAGAGCTTCAAACATACCATCTCATTTGGCCCTCACAACAACCCTGAGTGGAAGGTGCTTCTGTTAAGCCCATTTTGTAGACTAAAAACCAAATCAAATCAGTCAGATGGTGAAATCACCGATCCACTCAAAATTTATTGTGCTATTAGAAAGGACAGATTCCCTTTTCTTTTTATTGTTAATGTACCCTCCTCACCAGGTAAAAGAAGTATGCACAGGAATGTGCTGAATAGACCACAAGCTAATAAACAAATAAAAATAATAATAGCTAACATGGATACAATGCCTAATATGTACCAGGCATTATCCTAAGCACTCTACAATGAATATCTCATTTTATCCTCACACCAACCCTGGGAGATATGTTTTTAACATTTCCACTTTATAGAGGGGGAAGCTGGGGCAGAGATGAAGTGACTTGCCCTTGGTCACCCAGCTAGTGCAACTTTCAAAGGCTGGATTTGAACTCGGGTCTTCCTGGCTCCAGATGTGATCCTCTGTTCACTGTACCAACATGCCTAGTAGATATGGTCACTTTTCCCCAAGGACCACAACCCTCTATACCTCCCTCTGTGAGTTCCAGGTAATTTAGTGAATGATGGTGGAATTAATTCCAGCTGGGCTAGGTCTGGGTCATAGAATCCTGGCCTGCAACCCCCTCCCTGTTTGGTCACAGGGAGCATACATAGGGAAAGGACCTTCTTTTGAATATAAGCAGAAACCTATAAACCATAAGAAAGAGGGATTGAGTATGTGAGCTTGACCCTGTCAATACATATCTCTGGCTTCATTTTCTTCATCTGTAAAAACTAATGCTTCAAGGGCATCATCATTTGTGAGCCATTCTAAATCATCTGATCTGAAGGGAATACTTGGAGGAATGAATTTAGGACTCAATTTTTTTAAAAAATGGAGGGGTAGAGCCAAGATGTCACAGTAAAGGCAGGGATTTGCCTGAGCTGTCCCCAAAGTACTTCCCTAAAATTAACAAAGATGCTAAAAGATGTAAAAACCTCAGTGTTGAATGAGCTGTAGGAAGACAGGTACTCTAATCCAGTGCTGCAAAAGCCTTGGATCAATTCAATATTTCAGGGAAATAATATAGGGGAGGGAGGAAGTCCCTTTCCTTTTTCTTCCATCTCTTTGGGATACAGACCTAGTAGTGGTATTGCTGAGTCAAAGTGCATGCTGTTTTATTTTTTGTTTGTCTGTTTTTTGTTGAAGCAATTGTGGTTAAGTGACTTTCCCAGTTAGTGTTATGTGTCTGAGGCTGGATTTGAACTCAGTTCCTCCTGACTCCAGGGCCAGTGCTCTATCCACTGCACCAGCTAGCTGCCCCAGTATACACATAGTTTCATAGTCCTTTGGGCACAGTTTCAAACTGTTCTCCAGAATGGTTGAACCAATTCTGAATTGTGCTCATGTCCCTCTTTCCACATCCCCTCCAGAATTTGCCATTTCCTTTTTTTTGTCACTTTGGCCAATCTGAGGTAGTATGACATGTTACTTCAAAGTTGCTTTCATTTTCATTTCTCTAGTTAAAAGTGATTTAGGGCACTCTTTCATTATTAGTGATCGCTTTGATTTCTTCCTTGAAAACTGTGTTTCTATTCCTAAATCTTAATGGGAATCTTATTCATCTTTTCATGTGTGTCCCTAATTAGATGACAAGGCATTTGGCTACCATTGATAATCCTGCTGTTTACTTGCACTTCAGTGAACTTCTTTCCTTTGAAGTTCAGAGCACAGGACCAAAATCACATTGCATTAAAATCTGTCACAGGCACTAACGAGCCTTTGTTTTAATAAGGTGATTCCAACTCTTTATGGTCCACGGTGGCTACCCAAATGGATAGGAGCAGCACCAGCAATATCAGGAACACAGTTCACATTATGATATATTTCTCAAGTACCACCAACAATTATTCATCACACATTAGGCTCAGGATCATCTCACGGTGCGAGGTCACCTTCAAGACTCTTGCCATATTCTGAGGGACCAAAGTTAATACTAAGGATCTTCCAAAACCACCATCCACTCAGTAACCTCTCCCTCCCACAAAGCCCATGGGAGGGTAATATTAAATCTTTGCCCCTTTACAGGGCTCCTTAGAGGAGAGGAACCTCCCATGGTGCCTAAATAAGGACTCCATGAAATGCATCTAGAGACTCAGAATCACACTTTAGTCAGCTGGGGGAATCTTCCCACACTCCTTATAATCATGAAAATCACTCTACTATCAATTCTCTGATGGACATAAAGTAGTGCCCTTAATCTAAAGTCTTACCTAAACTCAAAAAGTTTCTCTCCAGAAAGAATTCTTTCATCTTGAGTAAGTTGTGTCTACAGGCTGAAGGTCTTCCCACATTCACTACATTCATAAGGTGTCTCTCCAGAATGAATGCACTGATGTTGAGTAAAAGATACATTCAGATAGAAGACCTTCCCTTTTACATTACATTCAGAAGCCATGAATTACTTGAAGTTGAAAAAGATCTGATTTGTGATGGAAGGCCTCCCACACTACTCACATTCATAAAGAATTTCTTCAGTGTGAATTCTCTGATATCCAGTAATATGTGGCTTCTTCTTGAAGGCCTTCCCATATTCACTACATACATAAGGTTTTTCTCCAACATGAATTTTTGGTGTCTACTGAGATCTGAATTGCAATGGAATGCCTTCCCACACTCCTTACCAATCTCCCCAGGATAAATTCTCTGATGGATATAAAGTAGTGTCCTCCATCTAAAGGCCAACCTACATGCATTGCACTCAAGATTTCTTTCCTGAATTAATTCTTTGGTGTTGATTAAGTTGGATCCTCACTCTGAAGGTCTTCCCACATCCATTATATCCATAAGGTTTCTCTTCAGTATGATTTTTTTAATGACGAATAAGATCTGAGTTGTAGGGGAAAGCCTTCCCACACTCCTTACATTTATTAAGGATGTTTTAAGTATGAATTCCCTGGTGTACAGTAAGATATTTTTTCCTTTTGTAGGCCTTTCCACATTCATTACATTCATAAAGTTTCTCTCCAGTATGAAGTTTTTTTAATGTCGAAAAAGATCTGAGTTGTAGTGGAAACCCTTCCCACACTCCTTATATTCATAACATAACTCTCAAGTATGAATTCTCTGGTGACTACTAAGATGGTCCTTCCTCTTGAAGGCCTTTCCACATTCAATACATTTACAAGGTTTTTCTCCAGTATGAATTCTGTGATGTACTCTAAGTTGTGAGTTAGTCCTGAAGGCCTTCCCACATTCACTACATTGATAAGGTTTCTCTCCAGCATGAATTCTCTGATGTACTCTGATGTCTTAGTCCTGAACGCCTTCCCACATTCACTACATTCATAAGGTTTATCTCCAGTATGAATTCTTTGATGTACTGTAAACTGTTTTGCATATTTGAAGGACTTCCCACATTCACTACATTGATAAGATTTCTCTCCAGTATGAATTCTGTGATGCTCTATAAGTTGCGTCTTAACCCTGAAAGCCTTTCCACATTCACTACATTCATAAGGATTCTCTCCAATATGAATTCTCTGACGCAGAGAAAGACGCTTCTTACTCATGAAGACCTTCATACATTCACCATCTTCACAAGGTTTCTATCCAGTATGAATTCCCTGAGGTAGTGTAAATTGTTTCTTACATTTGAAGGCCTTTCCACATTCACTACATTGATAAGGTTTCTCTCCAGTATGAATTCTGTGATGCACTGCAAGTTTTGTCTTATCCCGGAAGTCCTTTCCACATTCACCACATTCATAGGTTTTCTCTCCAGTATCAATTTTTTGATGTAGAGTGATATCTGAGCTGTAGTGGAAACCCTTCCCATGCTCCTCATATCCATAACACAACCCTCCAGCATGAATCCTCTGATGACCACTAAAACGGTCCTTCCTCCTGAAGGTCTTTCCACATTTCCTACATTCATAAGGTTTCTCTCCACTATGAAGTCTTTGATGTCGAGTTAGTCCTGACTTGAAAAGAAAAGTCTTCCCACACTCCTTACATTTATAAAGAAATGTTTCCAATATGAATTCTGTGATGCATTGTTAGTTGTGTCTTATATCTGAATGCTTTTTCACATGCACTACATTCATAAGGTTTCTCACCAGTATGAACTCTTCAACGCACAATACATTGTTTCTTATTTCTGAAGGCCTTCCCACATTCACTACATTCATAAGGTTTCTCTCTAGGATGAATTCTGTGATGAAATTTAAGTTGTGTCTTATCCCTGCAGGCCTTCCCACATTCGTTACATTCATAAGGTTTCTCTCCAGTATTAATTCTGTGATGCACTGTAAGTTCTGTTTTATCCCTAAAGGCTGTCCCATATTCACTGCATTTGCAAAGTTTCTCTCCAGCATGAATTTTCTGATGCACAAAAAGGTGCTCCTTGCTCCTGAAGGCCTTCCCATACTCACTATATTCAAGAAATTTATCTCCAATAAATTTTGGGCTCTCTGAAAGGAAGAATACAGAGCTGATTAACCCTGCCTTTTTTACCCTTTCCCAAGATTCTAAGTTCCTCAAAGGTTTTAGTGCAATTCTCTTGCCTTCTCACTTGAGAAGGATAGTATCACTAGTCTTTCACTAAGAATCAATATATCTTATGTGGAAGTATGATGACTCAGAAGTAATATGTAAACGATTTGATTGAGGACAAAATTACCTGGAGGGATGAATGAACCCTTACTCTACTTCAACTGGCTTACATTTGAATAGAATAAGACTATGCAGAAAAACACAGATGACTCTGAGAAATTGCAAATGTATCCTTACCATCTGAGGTGAAAATAGGAAGAGAAAAGATTGAATAGAAAGAGTGAGTTTAGAGGGAGGAAGAGAAAGATACATGAAGTAAACAGAATAAAGAAATATGAGGGGGGAAATGTGACAATCATTGACTTCAATTTTCTCTAAAAATCCAACATATCTACTTTATAAGGGATTAATTGAAATTTTTAAGAATAAAAAAGACAGGTGTTTTTGACAAGAGAAATTATTAATAATTACCTGAAACATTACTCAAAACTCTGGTAATCAAAGAAGTGAAAATGAAAATAATTTGGAGGTAGCAATAAATAGCCACCAGATTAGCAAAGAAACTTTAAAAATGACAAAATTTTGGCATTGCCATACTTTTTTTTTCAGTTTTTGTTAAATAGTGATTTCGTATCCCAGAAGCTGGGGTCTTTGGATTTATCAAATAGTAGATTAGTATAGTCATTGACTGTTGTGTCTTGCACGCCTAACCTATTCCACTGATACACCACTGTATCGTTTAGTCTGTACCATGTAGTTTTGATGATTGCTGCTTTTTAACACAATTTAAGACCTGGTACAGCTAGGCCACCTTCCTCTGCATTTCTTTTCATCAATTCCTTTGATACTCTGGACTTTTTGTTCTTCCAGATGAATTTTGTTATTGTTTTTGATAGCTCGATAAAATAACTATTTGGTCGTCTCATTAGTATGACACTGAATAAGTACATTAATTTAGGTAGAATTGTTGTTTTTATTATATTAGCTTGGCTTACCAAGGAGCAACTGATATTTTACCAGTTATTTAGATCTGACTTTATTGGTGTGAAAAGTGTTTTGTAATTGTGTTCATATAGTTCCTAATTTTGTTTTGGCAGGTAGACTCGGAAACATTTCATAATGTCTACAGGAATTTTTCTATCTCTTGCTGCTAGGCTTTGTTAGTAATATACAGAAATGCATGTGATTTGTGTGGGTTTATTTTATATGCTGCAACTCTGCTAAACTTGTTTGTTATTTCAAGTAATTTTTTACTTGATTCTCTAAATATACCACCATATCACCTGCAAAGACTGATAGCTTTGTTTCTTCTTTGCCTATTCCAATTTCTTTTGCTTCTCTAACTGCTAAAGCTAACATGTCTAGCACAATACTGAATAACAGTGGTAGTAACAGACATCCTTGGTTCACCACCTATCTTACTGAAAATGCTTCTAGCTTATCCCCATTACATATGATGCTTGCTGATTGTTTCTGACAGGTGCTAACTATCATTTTAAGAAAGACTCTATTGATTCCAGTTATTCCTAAAGAGAGGAATAATTGTAGTGAGAATTAAAGAACACACTCAGCTGCTTTTAATAGGAATGGGTGTTGTAGTTTTTCAAATACTTTTTGTGCACCTATTGAGAAAATCATATGATTTCTGTTGGGTTTCTTGTTGATATGGTCAACTTTGCTAATACTTTTCTGAATACTGAACCAGCCCTGCCTTCCTGGTCTGAATCCTACCTGGTCATAGTGTATTATCTTTGAGATAATTTGCTGGAATTTCTTGGCTAACATTTTATTTATAACTTTTGGCCCAATATTCATTAGGGAAATTGGTCTATAATTTCCTTTCTCTGTTTTGGCTCTTTCAGCATCACATTTGTATCACACAACGTATTTTCTAAGACTCCTTTGCCTATTTTCCCAAATATTTTACATACTATAGGAATTGGTTGTTCTTTAAATGTTTGATAGAATTAACTCATAAATCCAAGTAGCGCTGGAGTTTTCTTAGGGAGTGTATTCATGGCTTGTTCAATTTATTTTTTTGAAATGGGGTTAAGTATTTTACTTCCTTTTCTGCTAACCTGGGAAATGTGTATTTTTGTAAATATTCATCCATTTCACTAAGATTATCAAATTTATTGGTATACAGTTGGGCAAAATACCTCCTAATTACTGTTTTGATTTCCTCTTCATTGGTGGTAAATTCACCCTTTTCATTTCTGATGCTGTTACTGTGGTTTTCTTTTTCTTTTTCTTTTTTTTTTGGTGAGGCAACTGGGGTTAAGTAACTTGCTCAGAGTCACACAGCTGGTGAGTATTATGTGTCTGAGGCCAGATTGTAATTCAGGGCCTGCTGACTCCACAGCAGGTGCTCTATCTACTGCACCACCTAGCTTCCCCTCTTCTTTTTTTAATTCAAACTAACCAAAAACTTATCTATTTTATTGTTTTTTTTTCATAAAAGGAGCTCTTAGATTTTCTTATTAATGCAATAGTTTTCTTAATTTCAATTTTATTAATCTCTCCTATGGTGTTCAGAATTTCCACTTTGGTATTTAACTGGGAATTTTCAATTTGTTCTTTTTCTAGCTTTTTTATTGCATGCCTAATTCACTGATCTCTTCTCTCTCTCTCTCTATTCATGCAAGCATTTAGAGATATAAAACTTTCCCTAAGGCCAGCTTTCGCTGCATCCCATAAGTTTTGATATGTTGCCTCATAATCGTCATTCTCTTGTACGAAGTTATTGATTGTTTCTATGATTTGTTGTCTGACCCACTCATTCTTTAGGATTAGATTATTTAGTTTCCAATTGATTTTTAGTCTATCTTCCATAGCCTTTTATTGCCTGTAATTTTTATTGCATCATCATCTGAAAAAGACAAATTGACTATTTCTACCTTTTTGCAATGGACTGTGAAGTTTTTATGCCCTAGTCCATGGTCAATATCTATCATAACATGGAGAAAAAGATATATTCCTTTCTGTCCCCATTCAGTTTTCACCAGAGATCAACCATATTTAACTTTTCTAAAATTCTACTGATGTCCTCAACTTCTTTCTTATTTATTTTGTGGTTAGATTTACAGTATGGAAGAAACTGAGCACAGACCAACATCTTACACTGTATACCAAGGTAAGGACAAAATGGCTATAGGATTTAGATATAAAGGCTGATGCTATAAGCAAACTAAAAGAGCAAGAAATAGTTTACCTTTCAGATGTATGGAGAAGGGAAGAATTTATAATGAAATGAGAGACAGAGAATATTATGAAATACAAAATGGATAATTTTGATTACATTAAATTGAAAAGTTTTTGTGCAAACAAAGCCAATGCATCCAAGATTAAGAGGAAAGCAAAAAACTGGGAAATAATTTTTACAAACAGTATCTCTGATAAGGGCCTTGTTTCTAAAATATATAGAAAATAAAGTTAAATTCATAAGAAGACAAGGTGGGGCAGCTCGATGTTGCAGTGGATAGAGCACAGGCCCCGAAGTCAGGAGTATCTGAGTTCACATCCAGTCTCAGACCAAACACGTAACACTTACCAACTCTGTGATCCTGGGCAAGTCACTTAACCTCAACTGCCTTAAAAAAGAAAAAGAAAAAATAATACAAGGCATTCCCCAATTGATAAATGGTGAAAGAATATGAGCAGGCAATTTTCAGAGGAAGAAACTACATCTACCCTGACATGAAAAAATGTTCCAAGTAACTACCGATTAGAGAAATGCAAATCAAAATGATTCTGAGGTACCACATCATGCCGATCAGATTGGCTAACATGACAAAACACGACAATGATAAATGCTGGAGAACAATTTAATTTAAATTTAATATTAAGCTACTGCTGCCTTTTTTAAACTATAAATTTATTTATTTTGTTTTCAACATTCACTTCCACACGTTTTTGAGTTCCAAATTTTAACCCCGTCTCCCCCTCCCCCCACACCAAGATGGCATGCATTCTGAATATTCCTTCCCCTACTCTGTCCTCTCTTCTATCTTTCTCCCCTTCTCTTATCCCCTTCCCCTTCTATTTTCCTGTACGGCAGGATAGACTTCTGTACCTCATTTCCTATATTTCTTATTTCCCAGTAGCATGTGAAAACACTTTTTTAAATATATGTTTTTAAAACTTTAGGTTTCAAATTTTCTCTCTTCCCCCCTCCCCACCCACACTCATTGAAAAGGCAAGCAAGTCAATATAGGTTGTACATGTGCAGTTATGCAAAACACATCCATAGTAGACATGTTGTGAAAAACTAACTCTATTTCCCTTAATCTTATCCTGACCTCCCATTTATTCTATTCTTTCTTTGGACCCTGTCCCTCCTCAGAAGTATTTACTTCTGATTAACCCCTTTCCCAATCTGCCCTCCTCTCTATCATCCCCATGCTCTCTTGTAACCTTTTCCCTCTATTTTCCTGTAGCGTAAGACAGATTTCCATACCCAATTGAACGTGTATGTTATTGCCTCCTTAAGCCACATCCTATGAGAATAAGATTCACTCATTCCCTCATCACCTTCCCCCGTTTCCCCTTCCACTGTAAGACACTTTTCTTTTGTTTTTTTTGTGAGATAATTTACCCCATTCTACCTCTCCCTTTCTTCTTCTCCAAGTATAATCCTCTCTCATCCCTTAATTTTATTCTCCAGATATGACCCCTTAATCTTCAACTCACCCTGTGCCCTCTGTCTATCTATCTACATATATATACATACATATAATGTTTTTCCTCCAACTACCCTGATACTGACAAAGCTCTCATGAGTTATAAATATCATCTTTCCATGCAGGAATGTAAGCAGTTCAATCTTAATAAGTGTCTTATGATTTCTCTTTCCTGTTTACCTCTTCATGTTCCACTTGAGTCCTGTATTTGAAAGTCAAATTTTCTATTCAGCTCTGGTCTTTTCATCAAGAATGCTTGAAAGTCCTCTATTTCACTGAATGACCATTTTTTCCCCTGAAGGATTATCCTCAGTTTTGCTGGGTAGGTGACTCTTGGTTGTAATCCTATCTCCTTTGCCCTCTGGAATATTATATTCCATGCCCTGCGGTCCTTTAATGTAGAAGCTGCTAAATCTTGTGTTATCCTGATTGTGTTCCCACAGTACTTGAACTGTTTCCTCCTGGCAGCTGGTAATATTTTCTCCTTGACCTGGGAACTCTGGAATTTGGCTACAATATTCCTAGGAGTTTTCCTTTGGGGATCTCTTTCAGGAGGAGATCTGTGGATTCTTTCAATTTCTATTTTGCCCTCTGGTTCTAATATATCAGGGCAGTTTTCCTTGATAATTTCTTGAAAGATGATGTCTAGGCTCTTTTTTGATCATGGCTTTCAGATAGTCCAATAATTTTTAAATTCTCTCTCCTGGATCTATTTTCCAGGTCAGTTGTTTTTCCAATGAGATATTTCACATTTTTTCTAATTTTTCATTCTTTTGGATTTGTTCTACTGTGTCGTGATTTCTCATAAAGTCACTATCTTCCAATTGCTCTATTCTAATTTTTAAGGAAGTATTTTCTTCAGTAAGCTTTTGGACTTCCTTTTCCATCTGGCCAATTTTGCTTTTTAGGGCATTTTTCTCCTCATTGGCTTTTTGGACCTCTTTTGCCATTTGGGTTAGGCTATTTTTTAAGGTGTTATTTTCTTCAGTTTTTTTGGGTCTCCTTTAGCATCACTCTCAGTTTTTCCTCTACTTTCTAACTTGCTTCTCAAAATCGTTTTTGAGCTCTTCCATGGCCTGGGACCAATTCATATTTTTCTTGGAGGCTTTGGATGTAGGGGCTTTGACTTTGTTGTCTTCTTCTGGTTGTATATTTTGTCTTCTTTTTCACCAAAGTAAGATAATATAGTCTGACTCTTTTTGCCTGCTTGCTCATGATCCCGGCCAATTACTTGAGTTTTAAACTCTTTGTTAAGGTACAAATCTGCTTCCAATGTGGAGAATGTACTGTCCCAAGCTTGGGGTTTGTACAGCTGTTTTCAGAGATACTTGTAGGGACCTGTAAATTTTCAGTTCTTCCAAGGTGGTATGATAAGGGGCGAGGTGTTTACTCCTTTCCTGGCCTGTGACTACAAGTACTCCTTTCTGTCCTGTAACTGTGAGGAGGGGCTCCTCTCCACAATCACTACAAGCTCCACCAAGCCAGCTCCTCCTCACCCCAGCACCGCCCCAGAACTGTGGCCCAGATCCAAACACGGGCAAAGCAAGAGATTCCTGCCTCAGCACTGGCAAAGAGATCCCTGCAATCCCTCTCTGATCAGCCACTGGATTCCCCCTCAGTCTGTGGGCCGGAAGCTCAGGAAGCAGCTGCCCCCCACCGCTAAGGTCTTGGGGAATGGAGCTGAAACCCCGCCTTCCTTTCTCAGCACGACACAAACAGACTTTTCCCATTGACCTTGTAAGTTGTCTTTGGCATTGGTGGATTGAGGAGTCTGGAAACCTCCACAGCTGCCCGAGATTCAGTCCTCTGAGGCCTGCTCCAGGTTTGCTGGCCTGCGTACCACCACGCACTGCTGCGCTCCCAGCCCAGCACGATACACCTTTCTGATCAATCATCCAGGTTGTCTTGGGCTGGAAATTTGTTTCACTCTGTCTTTTTGTGGGTTCTGCTGCTTCAGAATATGTTTAGAGCCATTTTTAATGAGTATTTGGAGGGATTTGGAGGACAGTTCAAGCAAGTCACTGCTTTCACTCTGCCATCTTGGCTACGGCCCTCCCTTTCTCTATATTTTTAAACAGCTTATGTAATGTTAAAATGACCCATGAAAATTCCAAAGGACTAATTATAAAATATTACTAGAAAACTGATAAACTTTGAGTGCAAACTGAACCATATTCCTTTATATTTGCATTTTGCTTCACTTTTTTTTTTTTTACCAGGGCCAATATGGAAATGTTTTTCATTACATGCAAAATAAGTGTCCTCTTGTTTGCCTTCTCAATGGGTGGTGGATGGATTGGAAGGTGGGAAAGAATTGGAAAATCAAAATTTAAAGAAAAAAAACACAAAGTAAATGTAAGGTCTTTTTTGTGTGTCTAAAGGATATATTAGTCTCCATATGGTCTCATTTAGCCCTAAACATAGAATTCCTTGATGTCCACAATTTCTAGTACTATAGTGCAAGAGAAAGCCACCTATCCCACGGTCTCTGGTGTGAAACGCTATTTCAGAAAAGGAGTAAGTGGTACTCACCTTGGAGGGCCTGGCTGTCAGGGCAGAAGCCACTCCCTCTTCCTCCAAGCTGTCCTCCTGGGGCACAGCAGAGGCCACAGAAGGTAGAGCTGGGGAGGAAAGCAGAAGCAGGAGAATGAGGGGTCACAACAGGGGTCAGCCCTGCTCAGACCAAGCATTCCCGCTTCTCCACCGCGGGGAGATCAGGGAGGGGGGCAGGGGCTGGGGGCGGGGATGGGAGGGGGCCAGAGGGAAGAGGTCATTTGTCTCCTGGGGCGGGCGGGGGGGGGGGCCGTTGTCTCGGAGCCAGCATCTCTTTAGAGAGAAAATGGACAGTTTCAGCAAGGGGAGGGCACAGGTCCCAGGCAGCATCAGGGAAAGCTTCCTGGAGGAGGCGCTACGGAGAAGGAGATGAGGCCACGGGAAGTCCGCACCGAGGATCAGACAGACTGACACCGGGAGCACGTTCTCTGGGGCTCCGCGCACAGGGCAAGGCCTGAGGCCTGGAGGGGCAGGCCCTGAAGAGGGCCACGGGATGCGGGCGAGACTGAAGGAGGATTAGAATCCGCCTCCGCCTGCTCGGCCTCCAACCCCTCGCCCCTTCCCCCCGCAAGGGCCGCCCCCAGGTCCCTGGGAGCCCCTCGGGGGCTTCCTTTCTCCTCTGCCGGACGCTCCTCCCATTCTCCGGATGCTCTCCAGCCAGCCCCCGGCGGTCCGACCCCGCCGCACCCCCGCAGCCGGCTCTGCCTGGGCCTGGCCCGGCTCTAGACCCCGCTCATCACGTCACACTTCAGCCCTGGGCAAAAAAGAAGAAGCGAGAACCAGCGAGAGTGGAAGAGGCGGGGAGAAAAGGAAACGGAAGTGTCCCAGTAAGACTGAAATCTAATCCTCCCACCCGTGAGCTTGGAAAATGACCGAGGCGAGCACGGCCTTCTGGGAATCGTAGTCTGCAGGCGTAGGCGCTTCTGCGCATACCTGGGCCCGGCCTGGAATGTGGTCCTGCCTCCGTGCCAGGAGCCCCGCCCCCTCCACGCCTGCCATTTCTTCGTGCATGTTCTTCACAGGCCCAGAGCCCACGGGGAGACACCAGGCGTGGGGTCACAGACCTCGAGACGTCCTGGGGCTCCTCCGAGGCTAGTCCATCCCGCAGTCTCTCCCACTCCGGTAGCCGGTCACAAAGGCCACCGCTCTAATGAAATGCTTCCTGTGCACCAGCACCTTCAGCAGGAAGTGACGCAAACACGCAGGAAGCCATGGCTCTGAGGAAGGAAACCACGGGCTGGGGCAGGATACCCGGAGCCCACGCTCAGCCCCCTGGAGCTTCCAGGATGACCAGGACACGAGTGGGCCCGGGGCAGTAGGAGAGGTCAAGAGGGCGCCGGCTAGGACAAGGTCGTGCTGGCTTTGTGTCTGTTTCCTCTGCCAAGGAGACTGACCCGAGGGAAACCAGGAGACGTGGAGAGCGTTTGGCTGGGCCTGGGAATGCCAGTCGTCTGCTAGATGGGCTCAATGAAACTCTGAGCTAAAGTTCAGGAGAAGCTCACTGTGTTCCAGGCAAGGCTAGGTACTTTACAATGACTTTCTCATCTGGTCCTCACAACAACCCTGAGAAGCAGGTGCTGTTATACAGACCATGTTTTATAGATGTGGAAACTAAGGTGAAGTGACTGGCCCAGGGTCACACAGGTAGCAAGTGCCTGAAGTTGGATTTGAACTCAGGACTTCCTAATTGCATGCCCAGAATTCTATCCGCTGCAAAGAGAAAGTCTGAGGGTCTCCAGCTCCTAGACTGATTCTTTTGAGGAGACAAACTAGGCCATCTTTTGCCCCAATTCTTACCTAGCCTTTAATTGCTGAATGGGTGTTGCCTCAGATTGACAGAGACCTGGGAAGGCCAAGGTCTCCAACTGCATCAGGAGACATCACCAGCTGTCCTGACCTATGTCTTGCCACTGGATTTTGGTGAATCTCAAGGTGAGAGTGAGGCTGGTGACTTTGCACAGCTTTGCCTCCCTTAAAGTGAGTTCACTTGCAAGTCACGGCATCACCCTCCTGATGTCATAGGTCCTCTTCCAAAATGAAGGACAAACAACAATCCACTGCACCACCTAGCTGCCCCTACTTTCCTCCTTAGTACTGAAAGAAGTGGTAGATACGATTACAGAGCCATTGACTCTGATATTTCCAAGATCATGAATAACGGGAGAGAAACAACAGGAGAAACAAAAATGGTCCAGATTTTCAAAAATCAGAAGAGAACAGGATCAGGAAATTGTAGGTGCAATGTTGTTGTTCAGTCCTGTTCGATTCTTCCTGATCCCATTTGGGGTTTTCTTGGCAAAGATGCTGGAGTGGTTTGCCATTTCCTTCTCCAGCTCATTTTAGAGGTAAGGAAATTGAGCATTAAACAAGGTTAAATGACTTGCCTGAGTCATAGACCTACCAAGTGTTTAAGGTCAAATTTGAACATAGGTCCTCCTGACACCACTTTATGGAATGTCCCGCCTAAGTGTTCTTGAAGGCTCCATGAGTGCTTTTATTATGTCACAAAATTCTAGGTTGTATTTTCAATCCTAACCCTACATTCTAGGATGTAGTTTCAAATGCTATTGATATGTTTATTTTTACATTATCTTCCCCTGCCCAAATATATTTTCCCCTTTCCTATAGAAAGAATCATCCCTGATAACAAGGAATAAGAGAAAGAAAGCAGTTCAACAAATCTAATTTAATTAACACTTTTATTGACTTAGACAGTATAAGTCATATTTCACAAATATAACTGACCACATCTGCAAAGAGAGGAAGAGGAAGAATTCAGAACAGGGGAAAGGGGAAGGTCATCTATCTTCCCTTGCTCTTCTGAGATACTGTTACTTTGAAAATCAGAGAGGCAAGATTTATTGCATATGATAATACCTATTCTAAGAGAAGAAGATAGCCTCAGGCAAATTAAAAGGTAGTCAGATTACAAAATGTTATATTAAATGTGTTTTATATCATAACCTCATAATTTTACCACGGATTTTTATTTTCAACAAGATAGGAGGAAATAATTAAAAATGTCTCCTCACTTCTGACATCCTTTTCTGATGTATGACTAGCACTCAATTGGAAACTCTAAAATATAAGAGTTTACTTACCTTTTAATTGATAAATATGTATTTATTTCTTTATTGTTTCCCAAACTCAGAGAAAATGTTTTTCTAAAAATTGAAAGGGTTTTTTTTAATCTGCTAGAAGATTTATCCCCAAAAGCAAAAACCTATGGTTACTCTGGTGCATTAAGTGATTCTTAGAAATAAAACTCCTTTAGTCCCTTTCACTTGTCTGAAAGAATGATTTATGTGATTTTTTTTCCTTCTATAAACTTTTCCTAATGTAATTTAGGTTTGTTTTGATGCTGGAGGTACGTTTGATTGTATCCTATGCTGCAAAAATATAGACGGTATGATTTTTCATTTAGGTGCAAAAAATTATTTTTCAAAAAGTTTTTTTGGTCAAAGTGTAAAAGTTGTACATGGGCCTTTGAATGATTTTAAATGCTATGAAAGAAAAGTGCTTACACTAAAATTTTTATATCAAAATGTATACTCATGTTAAATTGATGAGAATCTTTGCTAATATTTGAAAATATATATTTTAATATCCTATAATATGATAGGATACTGTATACTTTGAGCCCAGGTCCTCCCAGGTACAAATGCAAGGCTATTCTCACTGTTCCATGTTGCTATTCCCTTTCTGTATAACCAGACCAAGGCCACAACTGAGATTCTGCACAAAAACATTCATAAGAGCACTCTTCGGGACACCAAAGAACTAGAAACAAACTCAATTCTCACCAGTAAAGAACAGCTAGGAAAAAAAAGTGGCATATGAATCACACTGTCATTTATATACTTAAAAATGACAAATATGGGGAATTCTGAGATGCATTGGAAGACAGGTACTAACTGACACAGTGTAAAATAAGCAGACCTAACAGAACATAATACACATAATTATAAAAATGTATATTTTTTTAAAAAACAACAAAAAAGATGCTGAACTACAAGTAACTGAAGAAAAAAAGCTGGACATGTTACTTATCAGACTAATGGATAGGTGAACAGTTTATAAATAAACAAGAGATAGCAAAGTTAGTTGTAAAATGGGTAATTTCAATTAAATTAAAAACGCTTTCTATAAATAGAACAAATACAGCCAAGATTAGAAAGAAAGCAGAAAATTAGGGGAAATTTTTTTATAGTTCATTAGATAAAGGTCTCATATCTAAAATATATAAAGAACTTTGTCAAATCTGTAAGAATACGGATCATTCCCCAGTTGATAAATGGTGAAAACATATGAACAGGCAGTTTTCCAATAAATCAAAACTTATAGTTGTATGATAATGCTCTACATCTTCATTGATTAGAGAAATGTCAATTAAAACAACCTTGAAATATCATTTCACACTTACCAGATTGGCTAAAATGATAGAAGGGTAAAGTAACAAATGTTGGAGGGTAGATGGAAAAACTGAGACACTAATTCATTGTTAGTTGAATCATAAAATGACCCAATCATTTTGGACAGCAGTCTGGAATTATGCCCAAAGAGTTACTAAACTACCTAGACCCTCTGACCCAGAAATATCACTACATGGTCTATCTACTAAGACGATTAGGGAAAAAGGAAAAGAACCCATATGTTCTAAAATGTTAAATGCAAAATGCAGCTCTCTTTCTGGTGGTAAAGAACTGGAAAATGCAGGAATTCCCATCAGTTGGGGAATGCCTGAAGAAGTTGTGGTATATGATTACTACTGTGTTGTAAGAAATGCTGAGCTAAATGATTTCAGAAAAACATGGAAAGACTTGAATGTAATAATGAAGACCAAAAAATGAGCAGAACCAAGATGACAAGCGCAGGTAATATGTGGATGGGAGATTGCCTGGGAATATTTGGTACTGCATCTGAGAGTCAGCATAGTATAATTCATACACTCCTGGACTTGGAATAAGGAAGGCTTATTTTCAAATCTCACCTCAGATACTTAGTAGCCAGATGATTCTGGGCAAGTCATTTTGTCTCTTTTTGCTCCTCATCTACAAAACCAAGGGCTTTGATCTCGATGGGATTTTTTAAAATATGAACCAAAACTAGGTTTTTTTTTCATCCAAAATTCAGTGTCTCATCATCAGTTCTCGGGGGTTAGGGATGGCCATTCAGTTGATTAGAATTCTTACAGCTTTAAAAGTTGTTTCTTTTTATAGTATTATTGTTAGGTTATAATTGTTCTTCTGACTTTGTTTACTTTAGTCAGCATCAGTTCATACTAATCTTTCCATGTCTCTTTTAAGTCACCTATTTCCTTATTTCTTATAGCACAAAAGTATTCTATTAAAGACACATCCTGCAATGTGGTGTCATTCCTGGTTTTTTTTTTCTGTCACAAAAAGCACTGCTATAGACATTTTTGTATATATAGTATTTTTTCCTCCTTTTCTATACTCGTTAGGATACAGGCCTGGTAGTGGGATATCTAAGCCAAAAGGTACATACAATTTAATAACTTAGGGGAGGTATTTTCAAATTTTTCTTTTTTAGAATGGTTGGACCCATTTATAACTTCTCTAATACTTCATGTATATGCCTTTTCCCTATAACCCTTCCTATTTTTTCCTGTTCCTTGCTTTTTGTCCCCATTGTTAATCTGAAGCTTGTGAGATGGAGCCTTAAAATTGCTTGAACGCACATCCCTCAACTAGTAATACTTCAGAGCATTGTTTCATGTGGTTTTGTATATTGTGTTTTTCCCTTGTGAAACTGATGTTCATTATCCTTAGGCCACTTACAAATTGGGGAATGGCTTTTATCCCTATAAATCTGTGTCTTATATATGTTGGAAGTTAAATTTTTTTGAACTGGCTACAAAGATATGGGCCTGACCATCAAATGTTTCCCTTTCAATCTAAGCTTTATTACATGTTTGTACAAAATATTTAAATTTTAATCAAAATTATCCAATTTGTCTTCTATGATTCTTGTTTGGTCATGAGTTTATGCTGTGTATTTTATACTAATTTTTCCACTTTGCTCTAACGTGTTTATGATGTGATCTTTTATACCTAGATCACACACCCATCTGGGGCTTATCTTTGTAAAAGGTGGGAGGTTTTGGTCTAAAGCTCATTTCTTTCATATTGCTATACAACTTTGCTAGCAATGTTTATCAAATACTGAATCTTTATCCCACTAATTTGGGTCTTTGTGCTCACTGAGTTCCAGGCTACTAGTTTCTGCTCTCTGGGTGGTATTCCTAATGTTCTCCTCAATGATCTATTTTTAAACCAGGACCAAATTACTTTTTTTCGGTCTTGTTTTGGTTTGCTAGGCAATGTGGTTGTGACTTGCCCAGGGTCACACAGCTAGTGTCAAGTGTCTGAAGTCACATTTGAATTCAGGTCCCTCCTGACTCCAGGGCCAGGACTCTATCCACTGTGCCACCTAGCTGCCGCCCTTAAAACAGTCTCTTTTTTTTTTGTCTAGGACCAAATTATTTTCAAAAATACTGCTGTGTAGCATAGTTTGAGAGTTGTCACTGCTAAGTCTACTTTGTGCGAATTTCCCAAGATTTATTTCCCAACATTCTTGACCTTTCTTTCTCCATCAGAATTTTCTTATTATTGTCTCTCATTTTATAAAATAACACTTTGTTAGTTTCAATGGCGTGAACTGAAAAAGAAAATTAATTACAATAGTGTTATCATTTTGATAAAAAAAAAAAAAAAGACTTATCCTCCCCATGGATAACAGTTTTCTAATTCTTTAGGTTTGCTTTTTTTTTTTAAGGCAATTGGGGTTAAGTGACTTGCCCAGAGTCACACAGCCAGTAAATTTCAAGTGTTTGCTGTGAGGCCAGATTTGAACTCAGGTCCTCCTGACTTCAAGGACGGTGATCTACCCACTCTGCCACCTAGTTGCCCCCTTGCTTTTATTTCTTTAAACAATGTTTTATAGTTTTATTCACAAAGTTCTTCTGTGTATCTTGGTAGGTATGGTCCCACATATTATTCATATTCAAATTGTAGTTTTAGCAAAAGTAATTTCGTTTTCTATCTTTTCTTCCTGGGTTTTCTTAGTGTGATATAGAAATGTTCATGCTTTCTGTGAACATGTGTAAATTGCTAAAATTAGTAATTATTTTGATTAATTTTTAGCTGTCTCTCCGGGGTCATTAAATACACCATCCTATAATCTGCAAGAAGTCATCATTTCGTTTCTTCTTTACCATTGTTTATTCATTCTGTTACTTTTCTTATTTCTATAGCCAATCTGAGGTAGTGACATGTTACTTCAAAGTTGTTTTCATTTACATTTCTCTAATGAATACTGACTTAGAGCACTTTCATTATTATTGATCACTTTGATTTCTTCACTGAAGAGTCTGTTTATTATTCTTTAACCACGATGGGAATCTTACTCATCTTTTCACAAATGTCACTAATTAGATGACAAAGTATTTGGCTACCATAAGAAGATCATAGTTAATCCTGCTCTTCACCTGCACGTCAATGTACTTCTTCCCTTTGACATTCAAAGCACTAGGCAGAAATCGCGTTGCATTAACATCTGCCACAAGCCCTAGTGATGCTTTGTGTTAAATAATGTGATTCCAAATCTTTACCGCCCACAGTAGCAACCCAAATGAATAGGAGCAGAAGCACCACTAGCAACATCAGGAACACAGCTCAGATTATGATTTATTATTCCTCAAGCACCATCAACAATTGTTCTTCACACATTAGCCTCAAGCTCATCTCATGGCTACAGGTCATCCCCAAGTGTCTTATATGACATATGCACAAGCATACAGTGAATACAAAGGATCTCCCAATACCACCATCCACTCAGTAACCTCTCCCTCTCTGAAGGTCCATAGGAGGATAACACAATCATTGCCCCTTTAGAGGACTCTGCAGAGAAGGGATATCTTCTCCCATGGTGCCTACATGAGGATCTCTGAACTGCATCTAGGGACTCAGAATCAGTCTAGTCAGCTGGGGGAATCTCCCCACACTCCTTACAATCCTGAAGAACCACTCTAGTATGAATTCCCTGATGGACATAAAGTAGTGTCCTTAGTCTAAAGGACTTATCAAACTCAAAAGGTTTCTCTCCAGAACTGATGTTTAGCAAGTTGTGTCTTCAGGCTGAAGGCCTTCCCACATTCAAGGCATTCATAAATTCTCTCTCCACAATGAATGCTCGTAGGTTCACTAAAGTAAACATTCAGGTGGAAGGCCTTCCCCTTTACGTCATATTCAGAAGCTATGAACTGTTTGAAGTTCAGAAAAATCTGACATGATAGGCCTCCCCACACTACTAACATTCATAAAGAATTTCTCCAGTATGAATTCTCACATACACAGTAACAAGAGGCTTCTTCCTGTAGGCCTTCCTACATTCACTATATACATGTTTTTCTCCAACGTGAATTTTTTCTGTTCGGTTTTTAGGCAATTGGGGTTAAGTGACTTACCCAGGGTCACACAGCTAGTAAGTACCATGTTTGGTCTGAGGCCAGATTTGAACTCAGGTCCTCCTGACTTCAGGGCCAGTGCTCTATCCACTGTGCCACCTAGCTACCCCTCCAAAATGAATTTCTGATGTCTAATTAGGATCTGAATTGCAATGAAAGGCCTTCCTACAATCCTTACATTCATGACGAATCTCACCAGGATGATTCTCTGATGGACATAAAGTAGTGTCCTCAATCCAAAAGCCATCCTCTATGCATTACACTCTTAACAATCCTTTCCTAAATGAATTCTATGTTGTTGAGTAAGTGGTGTCCTCACTCTGAACATTTTCCCACATTCAACATATACACAAGGCTGTTCTTCAGTATGAATTTTTTGATGTCCAATAGGATCTGCGCGGAAAGCCTTCCCATACTCCTTAAATATATTAAGGATGTCTCCAGTATGAATTTGCTGATGACTACTAAGGTGGTCCTTCCTGCTCAATGCCTTTCCACGTTCATTACATGGATATGATTTCTCTCCACTATGAATTCTGTGATGAGCTGTAAGTTCTGCCTTATCCCTGCAGGCCTTCCCACATTGACTGCACTCATAAGGTTTCCCTCCATTATGAATTCTTTGATGCACAGTAAGATCTAAGTAGTAGAGAAAACCCATCCGACACTCCTGATATTTCACAATGCATCTTTCCAGTATGAATTCTTTGATGATCAGTAAAATGTGACTTACTCTTGAAAGCCTTTCAACATTTACTACATTTCTAAGATTTCTATCCATTATGAATTCTCTGATGCAGTATAAGTTGTGTCTTATCCAGGAGGGTCTCTTCACATTCATCACATCCCTCCAGCATGAATTCTCTGATGACTACTAAGATGGTCCTTCCTCCTGAAGGCCTTTCCACATTTACTGCATTCATAAGGTTTCTCTCCAGCATGAATTCTCTGATGCACAGTAAGATGTCCCTTCCTCCTGAAGGCCTTTCCACATTCACCACATTCACAAGGTTTCTCTCCAGTATGAATTCTCTGATGCACTCTAAGTTGTGAGTTACTCCTGAAGGCTTTCCCACATTCACTACATTCATGAGGATTCTCTTCAGTATGAAGTCTATGATGCACAGTAAGTTGTGTTCTATACCTGAAGGCCTTCCCACATTCACTACATTCATAAGGTTTCTCTCCAGTATGAATTCTCTGATGTACTGCTAGTGCTCCCGAATAGCTGAAGGCCTTTCCACATCCACTACATTCATAAGGTTTCTCTCCAGTATGAATTCTGTAATGCACTGTAAGTTGTATCTTTTTCCTGAAGGCTTTTCCACATCCACTACATCCATAAGGTTTCTCTCCAGTATGAATTCTCTGATGCTGTGTAAGTTGTTTCTTCTCCCGGAATGCCATCCCACATTCACTACATTCATAAGGTTTCTCTCCAGTATGAATTCTCTGATGCACAGTAAGATTTGACTTCCTATTAAAAATCTTCCCACATTCACTACATTCATAAGGTTTCTCTCCAGTATGAGTTCTCTGATGCGCTGTTAGTGTTCCGCTATACCTGAAGGACTTCCCACATTCACTACATACATGAGGTTTCTCTCCACTATGAAGTGTGTGATGGGTTGTAAGTTGTGTCTTATCCCTGAAGGCCTTCCCACATTCAGCACATTCATAAGGTTTATCTCCAGTATGTAGTCTCTGATATACAGCACAATGCTTCTTGTTCCTGAAGGCCTTCTGATAGTCATATTCATTACAATCGAGAGGTTTATCTTGAGAAAATTCTCTGCTCTCTGAAAGGAAGAATAAAAAGCTCATTAACCCTGCCTTTTTTGCCCTTTCCCAAACTGCTTGGTTACTCAAAGGTTTTATAGCTATTCACTTGCCTTCTCATTAGAAAAGGCTAGGCTTACTGCTCTTTTACTAAGAATCAATTTATCTTATTTGAAAGTATGATGACTCAAAGGTAAGATATATACATGATTTGACTGAGGATGAAATTACCTGGATGAGTGAATGAACCCTTACTCTATTTCAATTGGCTGACATTTGAATGGAATGAGACTACTGAGGAAAAAACAGATAAGTTTGAGAAATGGTAAATGTATCCTTACCATCTGAGGTGAAAATAGGAAGAGAAAAGACTGAATAGGAAGAAAGAGATAATTCAGTTTGGAGTGAGAAGAGAAATACATACATGAAGGGAACAAATAAAGAAGACATATGAGAGGAAAAATGACAATTGTTGCCATAAATTTTCTCTAAAAATCCAACATATCTACTTGGTAAGGAACTGACTGAAATCTGTAAGACTAAGACATACAGGTGTTTTTGACATAGAAATTATTAATAATTACCTGAAACATTGCTCAGAACTCTTCTAATCAAAGAAGTAAAAATGAAAATAATTTGGAATTAGCAATAAAAACTCATCAGCTTAGGAAAGATACTTTAAAATGATCAATTTTGGCAATTATGTTGACATAGCTACTTATTAAGCTGCTACTGCCATTTTTCTGAATTACTTCAACGAGAGCTACAAAACTGTTCATATTTAACCCAATGTTCCCAGTACCAGGTATGCATCCTCAAAATGTTAATGAAAGCAAACAATGAACTGTACATAAACTTTTCACAAAAAGTTTTTATGAAATAGCAAAACATTGAAAACTTATGGGTACAATGATGGAGTTATGGCTACATTAAGTCCTGTCACATGAACCTAATAATGAGCCTTTATAAAATAATTTCAAAGCATAAAGAAAAACAGGATGACACATAACAAGAGAGACTGAAGCAAGGGGAATTAGCTTGGGATTAAATATTTTAAAAACAGCACCAAGTAACATAATCAAAAACAAAAGACAACATCAGAAGATAACTAAGAAGCACTTAGTACACATTATTAATATCTTAAGTAAAATACTTATGTTAAAAGGGAGAATGATTCATGCAAGTGAGGCAGGAGAATGCCTGCTTAAGAGAAAAGAATCTTCAGTGAACATAAGAGAAATAACTGACCTGTATTAAGGGAACAACATTCTTAGTTACATGTCAGTAAAGAGATACATTAAAAAAATAACTTCATAAGATTAAAAAAAAATGAAGTTTGAAAGTCTCAGCTCCTTTCAATAGGCCTAAGAGGCTTTGATAGGCCACTCTGTACAACATTTACAAGAGGTCTGACCTAAAATAATCAAAAAATCACTATTCTGCAATGACCCATCTGTTGTGTTTTAATGTAGTCACCTGGACAGCTGTTTCTTGGAACATCTGCCTTTGGCATCCAAGATGCTTCCTTTCTTTCCAAATGGTAGATCACATCTGGTTTGGAAACTGCAAATCCTGTTCATTGAAAAGAAAAAGTGCTAGGGAGTTACCTCAGAGTTCCATCATATATACATGAAATCTTCCATCCCTATCTTATTAGAAAGGAGAAAGAATAAGGGCACTGAATGTATCTTGCACTACCAAGAGCACTATCTTAGCTGATTTTGTCTGAGACTTTTGTCTTTCAAACATGTGGGAATTAATGGGCTGGGTGGAGAGAACAGTATGGTTTTCTGGTGGGTTTTTTTTTTTTGTTTCAGGGGGAGGAAAAATTACACTTTTAAAAAAAGCATCCATAAAACTTAATACAAGAATTCAAAACTAGTTTCAGCCCTCTTTGGGAAAAAAGGAGGTAGGCTAGGAAGACCTCAAGGATAGTACAAAAGATATAATATCTTATGGTAGAATGGATTACTGAGTAGGAGTTTAGAAAAATCGTTCATTTGACTCATTCTCTCCTTGGACAATGGTAAAATTTTATATGATGAAACTTACATTGAGATTGAAAAGAAAATCTTGGATTTGAAGCAACAGAGAGGGGAAAACATATTCTCAAGGTTGACAATTCGAGAAATCGATTTCCAGGAATACTACGCAAAGATCTTTTTTTTCCTGGAAACTGGTAGCACAAGTAATGTGTCTCTTGGCTACCAAAGAATTAAGAATATTTTTCTCTTGTACACCAAAGAATAACTGTTAAAATCTTGAAAGTTGTCACAGTATACATCAAGACTTCAAACGAGTAGCTGTTCTTACCCAAAGAGACCAAGTTCCTATAGTTCTCCAGCATCACATCTCTATACAACTTTTTCTGAGTTGGGTTCAATTGTACCCACTCCTCTGAAGTGAATTCCACAGCCACATCCTTGAATGTGACTGATTCCTGAAACACAAAAATATTTGTGCTTACCCAAAGTTCTCTTATGAAGTTCAAATGTAAACTGCTTGCCAGTAGGGTGAGGAAACTGAGGGTTTTAGGACAGCAAGTGGTACAGGATTTTGACATCTCAGTTTGTTCTACAACTGTCATGCCTTGCTTAATATAAAACTGATATACCAAAAAGACTGAACCTTTGTTTCCCCAGTCATTTCATCTCTCACTTGCCAAAAGGGAGCGACTCATCAATTTATTTGTTTATTTATAGCTCAGTACAGTGTCTGGTATGTGGCAGGCACTTACGAATGCCTCAGATAGAAGTGATAAATACAAGTAGGTACAGAATGATTTCACATACACACCACACACCAGCACACACATACACACATTTCTATCTAGTAGCAGACATCTATACGGTGGGAGGGGAGAAGGGAAAGAAATTTATATGATAATTTTATTATATATCTAAAAGAAGTAGGAAGTTGTACATAAGAGACTTGTAGTTTCACGTGCAATCATCTTTTTTAAATATATATGTTTCTAGAATGCTTGTTTTATTCCATAAATTAAAAATTAAGTGAATAAAAAATGTTAGAAAAGAATTCCTCTCTTATTAGTTTGTAAGCTCCTGAAGGGCAGGAGTCATTACTGCCATCCTCTGTATCTTCAACTTTTAGCCAATGTCTGGAATTTGCAGGTGCTTAACTAATGCTTATTGCTGTAAATAATTCGAACAAGACAAATTTTAAATGTGTGGTTTTTTTACTTCTGCCCTCTGAGATTAAGCAGTAATATGGCTAAATCCTTTTCTACTTCCTAAAATAAGCAATGAAAATGGAATAGTTGAAGACAGCTATCATGTGGTCCTAAGGCTTCTCCTTCTATCCAAACATACCCATTTCCTTTGACCAATCAGCCTGATCTCTTCACAACAAAGGCAGTTACTTTCTTCTTTTCATCCAATCGTTGTGCTTCTTAAAATGGGCAGCTCTGAAATGAACATGCTTGTGTTCAATGCTCCCGGAACCATAAGAGTAATGGCAAGCATAGGGGACTACAATCTGCTGTCTGAAACAGCATGTGAACAATTTTTTAACTGCTAAAAAAGGTGTTAAAGAACCATAACTTTCAATTCATATTTTAGAGGTGTAAGACTTTAGACTCCAATGTGCTCATTTTATACATTAGGGAAGTGAGGACCAGAGAGAGAAAGTGATTTGCATAAGGTCAAAAGGGGAGTAAATGGTAGATGAGCACTTTGCCCAGGTCCTTCTGGCGATTCTCACTGAACCATGTAGCCATTCACTTTCTGTATAACCACACTAAGGCCACAGCAGAGACTTTGCATGAAAACATGCATAACAGCACTCTTTGAGGCAGCAAATAACTGGAAACAAACTGAATTCTCACCAGTAAAGGACAGCTAGGAAAAAATGACATATGAATCACATTGTCACTTATATAGGTAAAAAGGACAAACATGGAGAATTCTGAGAAGCACTGCAAGACATGCATTAACTGAGGCAGTGTAAAATAAGCAGACCCAACAGAACATAATGCACAAAATTACAAAACTATAATTTTCTTAAGAACAATGAAAAAGATGTTGAAGTTCAAGTAACTGAAGAAAGAAGTTGAACATATTACTTATCAGACTTATGGACAGGTGAACAATTTATGAATAAACAAAAGATAGCAAACCCAGGTTTACATATTGATTAAATTAAATTTAAAAGGATTTGTATAAATAAAACAAATATAGCCAAGATCAGAAGGAAAGCAGATAATTGGGGATATATCTCACGTTTGTTACCAGGGCTTCATCTAGCAAGTGGAGAAACCTAACAATAGTTTAGAGCACAAGTTCATTTTCAAACCACGGGAAGATGTAACAAAACAGCAAAAAAAAAATCATTACGTTTGGGAGGTGGGAAAAAGAAGGTAAGAGAGCTTAGGATATGTTCTATGAACCCAGCTGGAGAGGCAGGAAAATATAAGTGAAATGGATCAGATCTCATCCATGATGATGATGATCCATGATGATCCATATGATGATGACAGAGTCTACATTGAAATCTAACTACATTATGTAAGGGCAGGGTGGGTTCAGGGAAGACTGGTACTTCTGTTGTGAGGGCTTGTACACTACCAAAAGGAGTGAACAGACCCATGACAATACGATTGCCATTGCAGGACAATGCCACACCACCATCATCAGTGCCCATGCTTCCCCCATGATGAACCCTTATGAGGTCAAAGAAAAATGTTATGAACACCTGGAGATTCTTATCATCGATGTGCCAAAAGAGGACAAACTTCTAATTCTGAGTGACTTTAAAGCTTTAATGCTACAATAGGCTCAGACTACCAGACATGGCAAGGAGTCCTTGGGAGGTATGCAGTTGGAAAAACAGCAGTGGTCACTTACTACTGAAAAATCGTGTATCTCATGACCTCTTATCACCAACACTATCTACCATTTACTAAACACAATAAAACATCCTAGATGCACCCTCCACAGCAAACACGGCCATTTAACAGACCATGTGATTGTAAGCAGAAGAGGCCGAGAGGACGTCAGGGCGATGAACACAATGTATGCTGCATATTGCTGGACTGATCACAGACTTATCCTCTCCAGATTAATCATTCTACAATGAGAAATCATAAGCCAAAGAAGATATAAGTTGTATAGCTTTCTCACAGATATGCTTTATTACCATCATCCCATCAACCCTGAAACAAGGACTCCACTATTCTCTGATCTTGCCTCCAGACTAGGTTTTAAAAATCTTTTTCTGACATTTATCACCAGAATAATTTCTTTCAGGGTTTGTTGTCTCTCCATTATTTTTGTATATTGATCTATTTCTTTTTTTAATTCATATTCAATTAATGGTAATTAAAAACATCTTCATTCTCATGATTAGTTATGCTTCAAGTCAACTGGCTATTAAAAATAATGGCTAACTCTCAAATGCAAGGCTTCTGATATAAAATTTAGTCTTCTTTTCTTTGTACTATACTGCCTCTTGAAACTCTCTAGTTTAATTCACTTTAACACAGCATTCACCCAAAAAGCAGATATGAATCAAGAACTTCAGTCTTAAACCCTTATTATACATGAGATAAAAATGTATGATGTACTGGGGCACTAGGAGGAAAGAACACTTATACCAGAAGGGCTTCTTCTCATCTTTCCTCCTCCAGTCTAAGGAAGAAGAGCCACCCTTAACAAAAATCTATTTTCTAGTACTACCACTTCCCCCTCCACATTAGCGGCAAAAAAGATAGACAAAATCCTTCTAATAACAACTTATAGGCAAGCAAAACAAATTCCCACACTGGCCATGTCCAAATTGTGAGGAAAGCTGAGTGCCACAGAATGGATGCTTTTGAATTGTGGTGCTGGTGAATACTTTAAAGAGTCCCTTGGAAAGCAAAGAGGTGAAATCTCTCAATACTTAAAGAAATTAATTCAGATTTTTCACTGGAATCTCAAGAATAAAGGTCAATCACATGAATGTCAGAAGTTGGGTAGCATATTTCATCAGGAATCCTCCTGAAAACAATAGGTGGTCACTGGGTTAATCAGTTTTTAAATCTTTCAGATTTTTTTGTATTCACAATATTGCCATTGAATAAATTTTTCTACTGCTCTGCTTACTTCATTCTGCATGATTCACACAAGTCTTCCTAGGATTCTATGGAAAAGTTCCTTGTGTCATTTCTTATATTACAATATTTTTCTATCACCTTTACAAACCAAAACATGTTCAGCCATTCCACAAATGATTGGATTCCCTCAGTTTCTAACTGTCTGCCACGACAAAAAGAGCTGCTATCAATGCTTTTGTACAATATGGGTCATTTTCTCTTTCTTTGATCCCTTTGCACCTAGGAATAGTACTACTGAGAAAGAGTATGTGCACAGTTTAGTAATTTTGTCAGCATTATTCCAAAGTGCTTTCAGGAATGGCTGGTCCATCGGCCCTGAAGTCAGGAGGACCTGAGTCTAAATCGAGCTTCAGACCAAACACTTGACATTCACTAGCTGTGCTACCCTGGGCAAATCACTTAACCCCAACTGTATATAAAAAAAAAAAAATGGCTGGTCCATGGCGCAGCTAGGTGGTAGAGTGAATAGAGCTCTGGCCTTGGAGTCAGGACCTGAGTTCAAATCCAGCCTCAGACACTTAACACTTACTAGCTGTTTGACCCTAGGCAAGTCACTTGCCTCACCAAAAAACCAAAAAAACAAAAGAATGGCTGGTCCAAGTTGTAGATCCATCAATAGCAGGGGCCATCTCAAGTCTTGCTGATCTCTATCTTGCCACTGAACTCAAATGGCTTCAGAAGACAAAGTGAAGCCAGTGACCTTGTACAGCCCTCCCTCACTTAAATCCAATTCATTTGCAAGTCATGGCATCATGTTCCTTATGAGATGGTCCTCTTCCAGAATGAAGGACAACCAATAACTTGTGAGTAGTTTGAGCTGCCTCACTGGGGACCCAACTGGTCAGTTCTAGCTGGGCAACTCAGCTCCTTCCTCTCTTCTGTCTTCCCTCCTATCTCTCCCTCTGAGTACATGAGTTATCATGCCCCTGGGGTTTACAGGCTAGATTTAGTTCTTAAAGGCCATGCCTGCTCCAGGTTCGCCGTGGCCTGCGTGCCCACACCGAACTGAGCTCCTCTCCCCGCTTGACGTGATATGCCTTTTAGATCAACCATCCAGGCTGTCTTGGCCTGGAAATTTGTTTTACTCTGTCTTTTTGTGGGTTCTCCTGCTTTAGAATTTGTTTAGAGCCATTTTGTTTGCGGGTGTTTGGAAGGGTTTGGGGGACAGCTCAAGCTTACTTGACATTCCTTTCACTGTCATATCTGCCCACCCCAGAGTACTTACCACTCCTCAATCCCACCCAAATCTTTTCAGTGTACATAACAATCAGTCTGACCCCCATTAAGTTGCAGAATCCCTAACAATACTGCCCACTATGTCGGCCTTACAATAAAACTTGTCTTTTGTCTGGAAGAAGGTTTCAGTGCTTGAATTCATTCCAGGCAGATGCTGCCCCATACCCTGACAGTTTGGGGTTCACAGCAACCCAAACTGCATCAGAAATGTTTTGTATTACTTCATATCTACAATGGATACCCTAATGTTCCCCTTCTTAATGGGTAGGAGAAGGACTGGAGGGAGGGGAAGAATTTGGAACTCACAATTTAAAAAAACCCAACAACAAAGTAAATGTATGTTTGTTTGGTTTTTTATGTGTGGAGAGGATAAATTGGTGTCTGTCGTTATATGATTCTCTCATGCCCACAATTTCTAGCGTTACAGTACAGGACAAAGAAGCCTATCCCACAGTCTCTGGCCTGAGATGCTATTTCAGGAAAGAAGCAAGTGGCACTCACCTTTCCTGGCCTGGCTGTCAGTACAGAAGCCATTCCCTCTTCCTCAAGGTTCCCATCTACTGGGGCAGAGCAGAGGCTATACAAGATAAAGCTGGGGAGGAAAGGAGAACCAGGAGAGTTAGGGGTCATGCTGTTGGGTCTCCCTTGCTCAGAGACTAGAAATTCCTATTCCTCCACTGCAGGGCAGATCAAGGAGGGGGGCATAGTACTGGGAGGTGGGGGTAGGAAAAGGCCAGAAGGAAACGGTCATTTTGATGGGGTATAGGCCCAAGTCAAGACCTCTGCCCCTCACCTGAAAAGAATTGGGGTTCCATTTGTTTGAGGGGGAAATGACGGGATACGGGCCCAAGTGGAGATCTTTGCTCATTACCCCAAAAAGAATTTGGGTCCCACTTTTCTACAGGCCCTAGAAAACCCAAACTTGGACTCTCCCTGAACACTCCCACTTGACTGATTAAGTCTGAGCATTTCCCTGAGGCTATAATCTTATTAACTGGCCTTTCATTATAGCCTATGCCCAATCTCCCAATTCTATTACCCTTAACCAAGCCCAGCTTTCATTGTCTGTTACTTCCCAATCACCCTCAGACACTTCCCACTCTTGATCCTATGGTCTAGACCCCATTCTACCTCCCAGTCACCCCCATCAAGATCCCTGCCAGACCCCTGCTCCCAGACCTCTCCTCCACAAACTACCTGGCCACTCCTAGATCCCTCCCACAGTCTTTTTGTATCTAAGATCCCTCCTGTCTCCATTAAAGTGCTCTGATTCTTACACTCTAGGCAATGGCCGAGAGGTGTTCTAGCCCGCTGGTCAATATTCTGTCCCAAATGTTTAGATGCCTTAAGAGTCTGGCCAACATGGCAGATCCTTGATAAACCTTGTCTTTCGCTGAAAGGTTTGGGTCGAATTTATTTGGACATTCATTCCTGCTCTTGATATTTCGGGGTGCCAGAAATCCTGAACCTTCAACAATTTCTCTTCTGGGGGGAAGGGGTCCAGAAGGAAGCTGTCATTCCTCTCGAGGGCAGGGGGGAGGGGTGTCTTCGGGCCAGAATATCTTTAGAGACAAAGTGGAGAACTGACAGGTGACCCTTTCGTCAGGTGACGAACAAGGGGCCCCGACAGCATCAGGGAGGGCTTCCGGGAGGAGGCGCTAGCCAGGAGGATGCTGGGAAGAGATGAGGCCACGGAAGTCCGCACCGAGGACCAGACAGACCCACCCTGGGAGCACATTCCTAGGGACTATGGGCACGGGGCAAGGCCTGAGACCTGGGGGGTCAGGCGCCGAGCGGGGTCACTAGAAGCGGGTGTGACTGAAGGAGGAATACAACCTACCCCCAGGCTCTGCCTCCACCCGCTCGGCCTCCAACCCCCACCCTCCTCCCCCGACAGGCCGCTGGCAGACCACTGGGAGGCCCCGCTCTCGTCCCCCGCTCACCCCGTCACACTTCAGCTCACGACAGAGAAGCGGAAGCGGGAAACAGCAAACGTGGAAGAGGAGAGAAAAGGAAGCGGAAGTGTCGTAGTTAGAAGGAAGTCCCGCCCGCCCTTGAGCTTGAAAAATGCCCCCGAGGTGAGCGCGGCCTTCTGAGAATCTAGTCTGGAGGCTGAGGCGCCCTCTGCGCATGCCCCGGGCCGGGCCCCTCCCCAGCCTGGAATGCCGCCCTGCTTCCCTGCCTGCCCGCCGTTCCTGCCGGGAGCCCCGCCCCCGACGCTCCTCCCCTTACCTCATGAAAGCCAGTCCTTGCGCAGATGGACTGAATAAAACGAAGAGCTGACATTTACCCAGAGCTTACTGTGTTCCAGGCACCTTTAAGTACTTTACAATGACTTGACTCTCACCTGGTCCTCACACCAACCCTGGGAAGCAGGGGCTGTAGCCTCCATTTTATAAATGTGGAAACTAGGGTGAAGTGACTTGTCCAGGGTCACATAGCTAGCAAGTGACTGAACTTGGATTTGAACTCACGTCTTCCTTATGCCTTACCCATAACTCTATGAGGCAATGAGGGTCTTTCCGTCCCAGACTGACTCTTGTGAAGACAAACTAGTCCATCTTTTGCCTCAGTTACTAGCCTAGCCTTTAATTACTGAATGGGTGTTGCCTCAGATGAACTGAGACCCGGAAAAGGCCAAGGTCTCCCACTGCATCAGGAGCCATCACCAGCTGGCCTGACCTATGTCTTGCCACTGGACTCTGGTGAATGTGGAGGTGAGAGTGCGGCTGGTACCTTTGCACGGCTCTGCCTCGCTTAAAGCCAATTCAGTGACAAGTCAAGTCCTTGCCCTGGGATGTCATTGGCCCACCGCACCACGTGGCTGCCCCTCCTTTCTCCCTTACTCCTGACAGAACTGACAGATATGGTTGCCGAGCCTGTGACTGTAATACTGCAAGATCATGAATAACGGGAGAGAAAAACAGGAGAAACATCAATGTCCAATTTTTCAAAAAGCAGCAGAGAACAGGACCAGGAAATTGTAGGTGCTGTGCTGTTCAGTCCTGTTCAATTCTTCCTGACCCCATTTGGGGTTTTCTTGGCAAAGATGCTAGAGTGGTTTGCCATTGCCTTCTCTGGCTCAATTTAGAGGTGAGGAAACTGAGCTTTAAACAAGGTTAAATAACTTCCCCTGAGTCACATAGCTAATAAAGGTTTAAGGGATGAGGAGGAGTGCTGGTGTGCTGAAGCATGTAGTGGTACTAAAAAGGAAACCCTCCTCACAGTTCCGAGACAGAAAAGGGTGCTTGTGGTCACTCAGAGACCAGAGCACAGGCCTGGAAAGGAGTAAACACCTTGCTCCTTATCATACCACCTTGGGAGAACTGAAAATTCACGGGTACCTAGAAGTATCTCTGAAAACAACTGCACAAAACCCCAAAGGTTGGGACAGTACATTCTCCACACTGGAAGCAGACTTAATAAAGAGTTTATAACTCAAGTAATTGCTGGGATCATGAAGAAACTGCACAAAATAGTCAGACCATAGAATCTTCTATGGTGACAAAGAAGATCAAAACATACAACCAGAAGAAGACAACAAACTCAAAGCTCCTACATCCAAAGCCTCCAAGAAAAATATGAATTGGTTCCAGGCCATGGAAGAGCTGAAAAAGATTTTGAGAAGCAAGTAAGAGAAGTAGAGGAAAAACGGGAAGAGAAATGAAAGTGATGCAAGAAAATCATGAAAAACAAGCCAACAGCTTGCTAAAGGAGACCCAAAAAATACTGAAGAAAATAACACCTTAAAAAATAGCCTAACCCAAATGGCAAAAGAGGTCTAAAAAGCCAATGAGGAGAAGAATGCCTTAAAAAGCAAAATTGGCCAAATGGAAAAGGAAGTCCAAAAGTTTACGGAAGAAAATACTTCCTTAAAAATTAGAATGGAGCAATGGAAGCTAGTGACTTTATGAGAAATCAGACACAGTAGAACAAATCCAAAACAATGAAAATTAGAAAACAATGTGAAATATCTCATTGGAAAAAAACTGACCTGGAAAATAGATCCAGGAGAGAGAATTTAAAAATTATTGGACTATCTGAAAGCCAATCAAAAAGAGAGCCTAGACATCATCTTTCAAGAAATTATCAAGGAAAACTGCCCTGATATTTAGAATAGAGGGCAAAATAGAAATTGAAAGAATCCACATATCTCCTCCTCAAAGAGATCCCAAAGGAAAACTCCTAGGAATACTGTAACCAAATTCCAGAGTTCCCAGGTCAAGGAGAAATTATTGCAAGCAGCCAGAAAGAAACAATTCAAGTATGTGGAAACACAATCAGGATAACACAAGATTTAGCAGCTTCTACATTAAAGGACCACAGGGCATGGAATATAATATTCCGGAGGGCAAAGGAGATAGGATTACAACCAAGAATCACCTACCCAGCAAAACTGAGTATAATCCTTCAGGGAAAAAATGGTCATTCAGTGAAATACAGGACTTTCAAGCATTCTTGATGAAAGACCACAACTGAAGAGAAAATTTGACTTTCAAATACAAGACTCAAGTGGAACATGAAGAGGTAGACAGGAAAGAGAAATCATAAGGGACTCTTTAAGGTTGAACTGTTTACATTCCAACATGGAACGATGATATTTGTAGCTAATGAGACCTTTGTCACCATCAGGGTAGTTAGAGGGAAAATATTATATGTATGTATATATATATAGAGAGAGAGAGAGAGATAGACAGATGGCACAGGGTGAGTTGAAGATGAAGGGGTGATATCTGGAGAATAAAATTAAGGGATGAGAGGATCATATGAGAGGAGAAAGGGAGAGGCAGAATGGGGTGAATGATCTCACATAAAACACACAGAAAAAAGACTTTTACAGTGGAGGGGAAATGCGGGAAGGTGAGAGGGAATGAGTGAATCTTATTCTCATCAGATTTGACTTAAGGAGGGAATAACATACACACTCAATTGGATATGGAAATCTATCTTACCCTACAGGAAAATAGGAAGGAAGGGGAACAGAGAGGAGGGGGATGATAGAGGGGACAGCACATTGGGAGAGGGTTAATCAGAAGCGAACATTTCTAAGCAGGGACAGGGAGAATAGAATAAACGGGGAGGGGAGGGAGATAAGCTGAAGGGAAATGAATTCAGTGTTTTACAACATGACTACTATGGTGACTATTATGGAAGTATTTTGCATGACTACACATGTATAACTTGCATCAAGTTGCTTGACTTCTCAATGAGGGTGGGAGGGGAGGGAGGGAGGAAGAAAATTTGGAACCCAGAGTTTTAAAAGCAAATGTTTAAAATTGTTTTCACATGCAACAGTGAAATAAGATATACAGGCAATTGCATATAGAAATCTATCCTGCCCTATAGGAAAATAGAAGGGGAAAAGGATAAGAGAAGGGTGGATGGAGCAGGGGGAAGAGATAGAAGGGATGGCAGATTATGGTAAAGTGTATTCAGAATGCATGCTGTATTGGGGTAGGGGTAGGGACAAGATGGGGAGAAAATTTGGAACTCAAAAGTTTGTGAACTCAATGATGAAAACTAAAAATACATAAATTAAGGAATCTTTAAAAAAAAAAGTAGTGTGCCCAACAGTGGCTGATCAGACCAA